GGGGGGGGGGGGGGGGTATATCCGGACGTTCATCTTTTATACAGTGTCGAACATAGTGACTATTATCTTGTGGTAAACCATCGAGTCTAAAGTCCAGCCCCCTTGTTTTCGTGTCACATAATGGTACTACCTTATTGTGGAATCATATCTTCTGTTTACATATTGTGTCTTCAGGGATTCTGATTCTATGGTATAATTGAATTATACTCTCCCAGCTGTGGTAGGATGCAAGGTAAAATAGTCCGAAACCTCTTGACTCTTGTCTGATATAAATTTGACAGATGTTGGCCAGATAATTGAGAACACTAATTTCTCACCTTGAGCAGGATTCGAATCCATAACACCTAATCGCCTAGCACTAAGCTGTGTCAGGTTTCTGTACCCCAATCAGAGTGGGTAGGGTAATGATGGACACCTAAAATATCCCCAGCCAGAAACACAGGAGGTTTAGGACTTACAGAAGGAAAGTTTTCGCCAAGGGAGATAAATCCAGTTTTCAATTTGAGCACTCAGTCAAGCACATTATTTCATTATCTTTCTATTATTGTGATTATTACTACGAGTTGTTAGGTTACATGCTGGAGGCAGTGGGGTGGCGAGGTGGATATTCAATAGGGGTGGGGGGGGGGGGGGGGCCGCTCCCTCATGCTCTAACACACGATGCTTTTTCTAAAACCATTTTTGCATTCTTTTTCATGAACTCCGATAAATATCCCCTCTCTCATATGTATTTAATAAAACCTGTCCTTTCCTGCAACACCTCTCCCATCAGGACGCCATCTTTTCAAAACTATCCTATATATTAATATTACTCCAAAGTCATTTCCTGGTGAAGAAATAATATCAAATGATCTGTAAAATATTTGATAAGTTAAAAAGTTTTAAAAGCAAGTTTAATGTTGTAAGAAAATAAAACATCGTTTATAAAATTACAGTCGCCGGTTGTAACATTACAGTGAAATCTTGCATTTTAATAACGAAAAATCTTTAACCTCAATTGATATCGATTGTAGAACAAATGCATTATATTTAAAGAGAGGGAGTGGGTAGATACATTGAAACGAGAATTGGGATTTTCTCTTTCTCCCTGTATTCAACGATATATTGGTTTTGTCAATTCAAGTCAATTTTGGTTTTGCCATTAATGTTAACAGAGGGAGTTATTTTTGATATATGAATACCAGTTGATTATTCATTTTTATTTTTCTTAATTTTGTCTGATTTTAGTCATTTTCTCTAATCTGGGTTGGAAGTGTTAGTGGTCTGAATCCTGTCATTTGCGTCTGGATGATCTTAACTCTATCACTTCCGGTTATAAAAGTCAACAAAATAAAATAAATACTTTTGTTTATTTGCAACAAATTTAACGCTTTGTACGTAAACCAGAGACAAAACATAATCAAGATGTTTTGAAGGAACCTAAATTTACTTCGTCAAGTAACAAATTTTTGGCAATTCCTCCATTTTGGCTCTGAAAAGGCAAGTAACTGTCTCAATACTATATCGGCTGGTGTTTTATGGATAGCCATTGCCACTACAATTACATAATTTTGATATTTTGTTTCTTCCTCCTTCCTGTGGAACAATGAGACACAATAATTGAAGCGAAAGTTGGCAAGGCAAAGATTTTAGACATTAATAAATCCATGGTAAAATTTCCCTGATTGCACACTGAATAACATTAGATTTCAGGCAGAATCACTATAAAGTAGTACGCTCATGGCCATATGTCAACTCCATTTCATTTCATATAGCTAAAGAATAATAAATTCAACCTAAATTAATTCGTTTATATCTCACAGTTTAGGATGTGTAATCTAACCACTATTTTTTTAACCAATAAATGAAATTAATAACCATATAAAAATTGAAAAATCATTTCGGTGCTGAAACTGTCACCTTATAAACTATATTAAGAAGTTACTGCACATCCATCTGTGGACCTGTACATAAAGTTGATCAAAGATTATACCTAATTTTTGAAAATGCTTTCTATATTTGCCAGAATGAAGTGTATGAGTTGAAGAATGAAGAGAAGATTAAGGCGTTATTCCGATAGATCGAATTGTTTGAAAGATTACGTCATTTCATTTTCGGCCATTATTCGCCATGCTTCTACATGTAAGGTAAATTTGTCCAGTTTTGGTGAAGGTTTCATTATTTTGAATTTTGTCACCTAGAATTGTTGCTTTGCTTGTGCCAAAAGTAAGGAATTTATGCCAGCTACATTTGATTAAAATGAAATATCAGAGCACAACTTGTATGAAAAATACTGTGGAGTTGAAAATAAAACTTGAGCAATGAAAAGCAATATGCCAGTTATCTAAGGTCTCACCCTGAACTCATTATGATGAAAGCTTCCATTGCCCTTTCACAGCCCTTTCACATCCCTTCCTCTCCTGTACTATAAATCAGTAAAAGTTGTTCTATGTTGTTATTTGTAGACTGAAATCAAGATAATACTGTTTATTATATTTCTCCCCTTACCTGCCCCACTCCTCCCAGGTCTTTCTTCACCCCCTCCCCAATTTTATCAAAGTTTTTCAATGTTGTTATTTGTAGACTGAAATCAAGATAATACTGTTTATTATATTTCTGATATGTTTGATGATCTGGTTGAAGTCAAACCATGATGTCTGTGGTGGAAAAAACCTTCTTAGGAATTTGGTGAGTTGGCCATCATGTCTTTAAACAGTATGCAATCATTTAGGCACAAGTCAGTTAAATATTATACTGTAGGTATGCTGTTTTCAGGTATAGAAAGACTGTAAACAATATGACAGTGCTTGTAATTGAGGGTTGTATTTGCTAGCGTACAATTTGATCAATCTTCCATGATACAAGAAAAGATGGAATTGCAGTCAAGATAATTATATAGATGGATTGCGTAATGGCTAGACATTGTGAAGATGATCTACAAGAGGTAAATGATAGTCTCAAATCTGTGTAGGTATCTAGTGCTTCTAGACAACGTACAATGAAACCACTGCATTATAACAACATGTTTATTTTTCTATTTCAGTGTAACGAATATCACAAGAAAGAGATTAGTGGAGATATCTGCTATAGTTTATGTCACGAGAAATCATTCGAGTTAAAACATTGTATAGATAATGATCCTTATATCAAGGTATGTAATAGGTGTGGGTGACCCCCCTTCTCCCCCCACCCGTTTAATTGGGCATGCCCTTCAGATATAAGTTATCTAAATATTTTGTACATGAACCTCTGAAATTGAACCTTTGCCTCAAAAAATCCCAAAGCTAGTTTGTGAGATTGGTTAATGCCCTAAGATTGGGCAAGCTTCTTTTTACCCCCCTTGACTTCTACCAAATATCTGTTGTCCTAATATTGGACACCCCTCACTTTCACTCCAACAATAGCTTAGCGATTTGGACTCTACTCTCAGCCCTTCCACACTGGACATATTCAAATTAATTCAGAGACCTGTTTGTTTCAGACATTCCTGATTCAGGATAATTTAGTAGTACGGGTACCTGTCTCAGTACTGCATCCAGAAACTGACATCAAATTACCCCATGGTTTAACAGTCGAACAGTTCTCAGATCTCGGGCGTAATTATTTCAATTCCATATTAGGTTACTCACACCATCAAGATCTCATTAATCGTCTTCTTCAATTTGCTGATTTTAACGGAAATCAAGAGGTAGGTGATTTATCAAGCCTTTAGGCAATGTCTCCCTCAAAGGGATATAGAATATTTGCTGTACCAGGTGATAGAGCTCAATTTCAGCTATCTGTATAGTCATCTTAATATTTACTATACCAGCTGATAGAGCTCAATTTCAGCTATCTGTATAGTCATCTTAATATTTACTATACCAGCTGATAGAGCTCAATTTCAGCTATCTGTATAGTCATCTTAATATTTACTATACCAGCTGATAGAACTCAATTTCAGCTATCTGTATAGTCATCTTAATATTTACTATACCAGCTGATAGAGCTCAATTTCAGCTATCTGTATAGTCATCTTAATATTTACTATACCAGCTGATAGAGCTCAATTTCAGCTATCTGTATAGTCATCTTAAATGGACATGTAAAGAGGTTTTCTTTTTATGTGTATCAGGGACACTGATAGCACCAATTTGCTCAATTAGAAAACCTCTTTACAATCCCTTTAATATTTACTTAACCAGCTGATTGAACTCAATATCAGCTATCTATATAGTTATCTAAATATTTACTTTACCAGGTGATAGAGAGCTCGATTTGGTGAATATTAGCTTCAAAACAGAATTCTTATCCTTCAATTTTTGTGAAATATGGCCTTTCAATTCTTGAAAACGGATTTAATTTAATGTTATATTTTCAGCTGAGTTTGGGTGAGGTTCAATCAGTATGGCGTCTGATTAACAATCGAGAATTTCTCCTTCTTTTTTTATTCCATAAACAATCGTCTGTTCCAAATATCAACGGCACTTGTGGGAGTCTATATCGCTTCGAATATCATCCAAAAAATTACTTATATCATTCCAATAAATCAGGGTTTTTATCTGCTATTTTTACCAATTCATATCGTTGGGGATTCCCTAGTTTACATAAGCGTCTAAAAATAGCTGTGGGTTTATTAGAGTTAGTGATTGACCTATCAGAAACGGAGGGATTTCCCTTCTTCCTGTGTAATATTGACTCCAATTTATTTGGATATACGGAGAAATATGAACTTCTTCTACAAAACATGAGTGAATTAAAATCGGCACAGATGTTGAAAAATATTTTTGCGAATCGAACGTGTGTGTCAGATGGTGATTGCCAGTATTCGAGTCAGTGTCGAAGTTTGTGTGATAACGCGACAAGGAAATGTTCCAGTCAAATTCTCAATACTCCATTATATTATGTTTGTGATATTTTACGCGAATATATACTGATCGGGGAGACAGGGCATTATTATTACGATCTTAAACATTATTTAGAAAAATGCATTCAAGTTAGTCCCAATATGGTGGAATTCTCTGCCTATATGAACGAGTTTCATGCATTTTTGTGGGATTTTATCAAAAATGATGCAAAGTGATAAAACTATGAACAATGTTGTAAAACAGGGGTAGGTAGGTTTTGAATTTTTAAAAGTCATTTGATCTCTGGAGGGATTCTGGTTTGTTGAATTCTTTATGTTCACGGTCAAGTTTATGATCAAAGTGAAAACATTCAGGTCAAAACCAAGATAGATTTTGGACAAGTCATCAGCAATCAAAACTTTACCTAATACATTAGGGCCTACATTTATGGGTAAAATTTCTAAGGGTATATACAATGAGCCGTCTGTTATCAAAACTATTTTTACAATGGCTCAGTTGGATATCAGTTGGAAAAAGCATTTGAGCTCAAATTAAAATGGTCAATTAATATTTTTAGATTTTTAATCAATAGTTATGATTACCCAATAAGATTATTAGAGCATTTTGGTTTGTTTTGTTTTTTGGGGTGAAATTTTAAGCACTCTTAATTATTTATATATTTTGTACGATATTAATTGTAAAAAGTTAGCTAGCATATCATTTAGATCATTATTAATTTATTTTGTTTTTTGTTAGATTACTAAGAAGGTGATAAATTAATCGTGAAAATATTTCGCAACATTCCGAATTTTAAATTTGATGTGTGATTTTTATGTTGAAATATAATTTCTAATGATGAAATGAAAAATAAGAACTCTATTATAGATATACTACTCCTTTATTTAATTTCTACAACATTTCAATTCATATACAGGAATCTTTATCAATATCAAATTTTTAAATCCGACTGTTTTCTCGTTTCCATTTATTTATAGAAAATTTTATCAAACGTTTTTTGATATGAGATGAATTAGAATACTATTACAGATATACTACTCCTTCCTTTTAATTTGTGCAAAGTTTGAATTCATTTATAGAAATGTTTATCTTAGAATCAAGATTGATAGACGACAGAATAGAAATATCAAAACAGAACCTGAAACATATTGTTAACAATCTTCAGACAACAGATCTATTTCAGTCTATATTAGCAATGAAGGCGTAGTATATCAATGAGATGTTATTTATCAAAGGTTCTGTCTACTTTAAAATGTCATTTAAAATTAAATTATAATAAAATCATCTCATGTTTTATTTATTTTCAGTTATTTTTTTATTTAGATAAAATTGTATATTTCACTAATCTGAATGTTTCGTTTTTTGTTTCTTCTGAAGATTACTTCATTTGCCATTCAGAATCTGTCAGGATTCTTTCTGAATTGAGTTCTTGAAACTTTGCTCTAAAATTTGTTATAATTTATTATAATCGATCAAAAAAACTTTATTAAAAGTGGTATGACAATACAAGGCAATGTTTATCAATTAATAACGCATAGGTCGAGATAATACCTTCGGATTTTTCAACCCGGTTTCCCCCTGTCAGTGATGCAGGTACGAGGGGCTGACATGAAAAAAGCGTCTAGTCGTTCGGATGGGACAATAAACCGAGGCCCCGTGTGCTACAGACTGTGCACGTTAAAGATCCCTCGACAGTTGGAAATCGAAAGAGAGCAGGCTAATGCCGCTGTCCTGGCAAAATTTCCCTCATTGCACCCTGCATGGCGTCACCCTGCATGGCGTTGCCCGTCTTCATTAACCCACATGGTGCAGAAAAGTAGGACGTAAAACTCCATTCATTTCATTTCATTTTCCTTTAATATATATACCAATTTTCACATTTATTTACAGAATCAAGCAAATTATCAGAAAATATACTTGTTACCATGGTTTTAAGGTGATAATTTAATAAACAAAGAAAACTGAAAATTGATTTATTTTGACAAAAATTATTTTTTTGACAAAAATGATCAAAAACTATTTGAATTATGAGGCGAGAAACATGAAAGAGATTATTGTTGTTTTTTTTATATTCAAGGACGATGTGAGGCCAGTTCCTCGTATAATTAAATTAATAGTTTTCCAGTCATCTGATTGGTCAGTTACTTAAGTCCATCAATTTAATAAGAATATTTACTTGGTTGAGTGAGAAAAATTGAAAACCATCATCTGTACATTAGACACCTTGCATATTTTTTCACAATTTTTCAACTTGTTTTAACACGAACAACCTCTGAGATCCATTTTAAATATGGTGGGTTCCCGTTGTCAATCTGAAATTTAAATTATTTTATCTCATTTGTGTTGAAAATTGTCTCAGTGTAAAAAGATATTTTGAAGAGCCATTTCTCAAGACAATAAACCGAGGCCCAATAACTTGAAGAGTTTAAACGTTTAAGATAAATTGGCAGTTAGAAATTGAAAAAGAGTAAGCTAATGCTGTTGTCCAATCACAATTTCTCTGTAGGAATAACCATCTAGTATTTATGATGAGACAATAAACAAAGCCCTGCATGATGCTAATAGAAAATGTGTTGGCTAATGTCTTGGCCTGGCAATGAACACTTCAATGAACACTGCATGACGTTGTACATCTTCAATAACCGAGAATATTTTTTTCAACTCTATCTCGTTTATATTTTAGGACGTACCTTTGATGAAATGACTTCTGCCACTTCATAAGGATGATTTTTTCTGACGTATTCTGACAGAGCATCTACTTTTACTGTCTGAGTTTTCACCATCTTGAAAGTAGAAGTAACAAAATCAATATATTTATCTGGCATGGGGCCATTAGTTTTGTCTTGATTTTCCATGTCTATCGCTTACAGGCTTTTGTGTTTTGTCTCACATTTTTGTCTTTTTTGGGGGCAAAATCAGCTACTCTAGTTTATAGGGCTTAATTTTCTAAATCAAGGATGTTGAAAACAAGCAAGTTAACAGTAAATTTTAAGAAATTAAAAGAATACAGACCAATAATAATTCTGAATCTTCTTCAACTTTTCCTTCCCATTCATATCTGAAATTTGTAATAAAGAAAAATGGAAATGACCAAAAAGAATAATACCAAATCAGTTGATAGTGAGATGGATTGTTTACTGTTGACAATAAGGTGCTGTGGGTTCAAATCCTCCAATAGGTAAGAATATATTATAAAAGTATTAGTTAAAAGATTAAAATTAAAGGTAGACTTACACTGAAGTGAAATCTATAAAGGTTCAGTGTTAAAGGTTTAAAGGATGGATTAGAATTAAAGGTAGACTTACACTGAGGTGAAATCTATAAAGGACTTACACTGAAGTGATACCAGGTATAATATTAACACAAGCTGCTAGCTTCTCTTTCACAATACCACTGAAACATTCATTAACATTACAGGATATTATTAGTATCTATTATTATTATTGTAATAGTGACTTCATAAAAGAAGCTTAGTTTAAGTGGAATTGCAGACATATAACTGAAAAACCTCTGTTATTACAATCCATTACAATAGGTAAGGTGTTCTAACTATTGATAATAGTCTAGCGTTGGAAAGACATTTCCAGATGATTTCAACTTACTGCGACAGTTTTTTCGCGACTTCTAAATTGGGTACTGTAATAAAAGCCATGGAATGCGTGCCTGAGATGTAGCTCTCCGCCATTTTACTAAAACTACGACGAATAAAACTAGAAAATAACGGCATCAAATAAACCATGGATATCTGAAATAAGAAAAGAAACATTGTTGAGGCAGGATTTGTTTTTTTGTCCTTTAAGGTAATATGTGGAATCAAAGTCAAAAAAACTGTAGAGCCAGTAAAGTAAGATGTAAAACTCCATTTCTTTTCCAAACCCAGCAATTTCAAACTTAATAGCATATTAGTGGGATTGGACCTTTAATTTTAAGCCATTGGTCAAAGGTAAATAACTCCAATTAATGACCTCTCTTATCTTTTTAATCGGCTAGTGAGCAGTAAATTCAACGTGTCAGCTTGCTACCCAGGTAATTTTCACGAAAACGATCATTTAGACAGGTGCCATAGTTACCAAAATGACGGTAGAGATTGCCAGAACCTTCAGGAATCCAAGTTTACGATTGCTTGGCACTGTGAAAGTTTCTTGCAGTGATTCTGTGTTTTGGTCAGGATATACCATTTGCTTCTTCATGTCACGGGATCATTGATTGGTTGGTTTATTTTTAACAGCCAATCAAATCATTATTGATTCTACTTTCATTTTCATGATTTACTTTTGTTTTGAAAGATAATTTTACATGTTTAGAGAGCAAATCCGATGTTTAGAGGGATTTCAGGGAACTATTTTGCAGTAATAACGCTTTGAAGTATGTTTCCTGGTAAAGTAATGAGTGAATAAGATTCGTAATTAAAATTTTAATTGTGGTCTATAAATGAAGTTACTTCCCTTACACTGCAAATTTATACAGTTTATATTATTACCTCTATGTGCAGATGAGGCCATGCTAATAGCTTTACTAACCTAAAAATTATACAACTCAAGCAGAAAGGAATATACTTTTTCATATTTGCAGGAAAATAATCCAAGATGTCTGCTGAAGATAGAGAAGTCTTTAAGAAAATATTAAACTTAGAGCCCCACCCTGAGGGAAATTTATTTGCCATAAAATGGATCGGTGACCGAAAAGTGAACTTTGTGGAAAAAACTCAGTAAGTTGGTTAGAATTGAAATATTTACGACATTTTTTTTTCTCTTATCCAAGCCCAAATGAAACTACGTTTAAATCGTAAATTCATGTCTTTAAACGAGTAAAAACTAGCATGGCACCTTTCCAATTTCCAAGTCCGATGTCAAGGGCTCTGATTGACTGTATTCGCTATCGTATAATCTAATCAAATTATAAACTGTTGCCATTGATTGTTTTTCGTTTTATTTTTCAGACACGATGGTCCTAGAAATGTTGGTTCCAGCATCAACACTCTTCTGACAACTCCAGACTTTATCTCCTGGCATAGAGTCTTGTCTGATGAGATTTATTTCTGGCATTCTGGTGGGGTGATGAAGGTAGGAGGGGGCGTATCCAGGGGCCTTATTCTCAAAACCCAAAATAATATCCAGAATTTGATAAATACAGTAATTTGATTGGATGATAAAACTAAATTTGAAATCAATTTTTAGTGCTAGACCAATCAGATGACTGGAGATGACTTCGGGAATAAGGAAACTGGAAACGGGGTGGGAAAGCCAAAAATATACTTGCCCTTACTTATGATTCGGAGAAACTTAAAAAATTGTGAAGTCCGCCTAGAAATGTTTATTTGCCTCTCAAAAAATACTGCGATTTCATTGGTTAAGACGTCATATAACGTCATTTGATTGGTCAATATTTCGCGACCACCCAAAAGAAATATTCTATGTATGTCTCATTTTGTTGCAGGTTCATTTTATAGGTAAAGACGGTCGTCATGAATTCCAAATCCTGGGTGATGTATTAAAGAATAATGCAGCACAATATCAAGTGGTGATTCCACATGATGTCTGGTACGCAGCCGAGGTCATTGAGGGCGAACATGTTTTATTCAGCGCCGTAGTAATGCCAGGTAGGGACTCACGACAGCACCGGCCGTGGATTCGGTCGTCATCTTTTGTTTGACTAAAGTAGAAGGGAATGTCCGTAGGCACTGGCCGTGTAATAAAAAAATATTTCTATGTGTTGCCAATAGGTAGAAGGGCACGTAAGAAGACACTAGCCGCGGTTTCAGTGACCATTTCTGTTTCTAAAGTAGAGGGGCATTTCCACAGAAGCTGGGTGTGAAGTAAGAATCAACCATCAACGGTATGAATATATCTTAGCAAATTTCTCTTCATTTCACACTGTACGGTGTTGTCCGTCTTTTAAAACATAAGGATAGATATCAATGATAAAACATAAGGACGTAAAACTTCAATTTATTTCAGGATTTGAGTTTAAAGACTGGATTGCGGGCGATCGAGGGGCCATGATAGCCGAGTTTCCACAACACAGGGACCTGATAACTAGATTAACTAAAAATAGCGTTTAATCAAGGCCCTGTTATGTTTATAATCCGGATTGGCCAGGTGTAGAAATGAGCTAATCTATAAACCATTATTTAAGGTTATTTATTCCCTTTTACCTCGTTTCCATTCTTTTTACGTCGTTTTAAGACAAATTTTACGTCCATATGGAAAGTGACTTCGCTATTTTTTTAAAGACTCTACGAGTCGTGGAAAATGAAATGCTCACTAAGGGACGAGTTTATTCATTGTAATAAAGAATATTTTCTCAATTTAGTTGATTTGTGTGTAAAAAAATACCTTCCTCACAAGCATCCCGATCGTTTTCCCTCTGTTAAGTAGGGCCTATAAAGTAATTAAAGATTTTATTGTTCCGATAAACATAATAGATGCAGAACAGTAGGACGTAAGACCCCAATTCATTCCAATCTAGAATATTGAGGGCCCGCTGTAGTACGGTCTGTTAGAGCGCTGGAATCTTATGACGTTATGTTTGCTTGGTTACGTTGAATAAATGGATATCGTGGGTTCTAATCTCGATCGTCGTACGTGAGTCGCCCTTCTTATTCATCCAATCGACCCAGCTGTAAATGGGTACAGATAATCCATGAAAGATCAATGCCTACCCCCATCTGTAAGTGGGTACTGATAATCCCGGAAAGATCAATGCCTAGAGGTTTGTCTAAGGACTGAACGATAGTATCCTAGAGTATCTAAATTGTTATCATTGTAAAATATGGTTGTTTCATTCTCTCTACTATAACAATATAGTGTATTAAAGAGAACGGAATGTCGTCGGTTGACCTTGGTGTTATTTAAATTTGAAATAAATGACAATATTTCTATTCACGTGGCGACTTTCTGTTGTAATCCGATGCCAACGCCTACTTGTTGTTTAAACTTCTAAGGGTACGACATATACTTCGGAATTTGGGGCATTTGACCCTGAATTCTTTTATTCGCCCACACTCTATTTGACTTGGGCTCATCTCATACTGCCAACACATGTTTCAGATACACAATCTTCATCAGGACAAATTTGTTGTTAGTTTTCATTTTTTGAGAAAAATACGTATGTTTAATCGACCCGTCAACTCCCACGCCCCACCTCGTTCGTCTAACTTCTATTTCAAGTCAAGATAAGTTTAATATAAACATGGTCACTCCCTTGTAAGTGGGCACAAATTTATTAGTTTTTCAATCTATCTTATTTATACTGATATCTCGGGGCCAAGTGTAGGGTGGGGCAGGCCCCGTCTTGTAACGCCCTTGTTAAGTTCCATTTCTTAAACTAGCTGCCCTGATGAAGATCGTGTATCTTAAACATGTGAGCGAGGTGAGCTCTAGTTAATTTGAATGTTAGATCATAGTGGAGAGATATGGATTTATTTCACTGGCTCTAGCTACTGGACATTTGTCAAGTTAATGTTTAACGTCAGTTATGTTATGATCAGTAACTTGAAACGTAGGACGTAAAACTCATTCATTTCATTTCCTAGCAGTAACTTGATAGAGTCAGCTAGTTTCTAGCTAACTGACATCTGTCAACAATATCTATCTGAGTGTAGTAGAATAGGATTGAAAACCAACATCGGGCTGACTTCAGGAAGCACTGGCTGTGTCAGCAAGTTTCTAGCTAGCTGGCTGCGCTTGTTAACAGTATCTATCTTGACAATTCCAGGGTCACTAATTTTCGGACTATTGGTGTTATTGTCCGCTGACCAGCTGTAGAGTTTATTGACTCGAACCAAAATGACTCATAATACAAATATCTACATTTCTTACTATTTTCTCTGACGTATTTTGAATTTTAGACCATCTGTTTCCGTTTTGAATAGAATTCGGATTTCTGTAAGAGTTTTAAGGAAATGATCCTAATTTTTCTTTCCTTTTGCTGACGTTGGACTTCTGTTTTGTTGTTTTCCGTCAAAGGATATTTAAATTTTGAAGTTTTCGGCCGAAAGTAGAAAATTGATGTGTTTTACTTTTCAGTCCCGTAAAAATTTGATTAATTTTGTACCCACTCGAGGAAAAGTCCTTGAATGTTGACGTCGATTTGACAATCCCATATTTACGTAAAAATAGTAACTTATTTGTTTTATCTCTAAAAATAATGCGGGCAATGGGAAAAAGAATGTGAATATTTACTAAGAGAAGATAACTCAGTATGGATTATTTAATCGGAAGCGGAAATAGAAAATATTACGCATGCGTGTTGGCCTACACCTAATATTGATCAGTCAAGTTTGTTTTGATCTCAGTCGGCTTTCGACTAAAATTGTTTGTGAAAGGTTTGTATGGTTTATTTTAGCATTTATTTGAAGGAAATCTCGAAGGCCACCTTTGTATCGTTAATTCCATGACAAAGAAGGATTTTAGTGCGTAAAGGTGAGATTTTTTCTGATAGCAAATTGACAGGTATTTTTCACCAATCAACCACCGACGTTTCAGCTATTATTGGATCTCCCCTGTGTATTTTTCGAGTGAGGGAAATTTTTCACAGTGATGCGATAATATTTTAAAACGGTTTCTAATTTATCTGTGATTGTAGGACAAACTGGAAACATTTCGAAAATATTTTTGTAGGTTTACTGTAAGAATTCACAAGCCAAATGATGAATCAGTTTTGTAAAGAGTTTAATTTTTTCTACAAAGGTATGTCCTTTTATTTGTGATGACACTGTCAAGGGTAAAGTGAAAAGGATGGGGAAAACTATTGGTGAATTATTACTGGTATAATCAGACGTCTTTGGTTTTTGCAATTCCTTTTGAACTAAAACATCAGTATTAGAGAGGTCCTTAGATCAATAGATCCTTTTGTGGCATTGACGTCATAAAATGCTTAGTTTTATTAGAATTTGCCGAACAGAAGATGTCGGATTGAGATTGGAATGGTGCGAATTGATGCAGTGTCCTGTATTCACATTTAAAGTTTAAAAATCATTGTATAACGGTACAAAGCACAGTTGGACATTTTAGAGGTTTAGTCAAACATTTCTGGTATATGAGACTTTTATACAAGGCAAACAATTTTGTTGGAAAGGAGTAGGGTGGATTTCTATTAAAGTTGTTTGAGTCAATCTCTCATGGCATGTATCCAAAACAATGTATTTTTTTTTTAAATGACTTTTTGATTAGATTAAATAAAACTACAATCAATATACAAGTTAAAATAGAATTTAAAATGATTAAACTTGGCACCAACAAGATTCCTGAGATTCTTGTAGAATACCGGTATTTTGTTTGTGGTTTATGAACTTTTTATTTTATGACTGGTAAATACAGCTAAAGCAACACAACAGAGCTCTAGTCAGTTATGACAGCCAAATCAACAGTCTAGAGCTCTAGTCAGATATAACTGGTAATTACAGCTAAATCAACAGTCTAGAGCTCTAGTCAAACATGACTGGAAATCAACAATCCAGAGCTCTAGTCAGACATGACTGGTAAAAAGAATCCAGAGCTCTTGTCAGACAAGGGTGGTAAATACAGTTTAAAGCTCTAGTAGTCAGACATGACTGGTAAATACAGTCTAGAGCTCTAGTCAGACATGACTGGTAAATACAGTCTAGAGCTCTAATCAGACATGACTGGTAAATACAGTCTAGAGCTCTAATCAGATATGACTGGTAAATACAGCCAAATTAACATCCCTGGTAGATATAAAATCTAGAGTAGTATTTTAAAGTGTGTGACTGTGGCAAGTTATTTCTATTTTAAACCAGGCTATATGTAATTTGATTCTATAACTAACTAGATTGTGGGAACAGTTGGTTTTTACTCACTAGGAAATATTTTAACCTAACTGATCTCTTTTCTCAGCTGGTAAATTTTATTTTATTATTAGCGTTTGAGTTGTATTTCTGTGGTTCGAATTCCTTCCTCACTGACTCTTGTAAGCACTGGCAGAGTTGACAAAATTAGGATCCAAATTATTTGTGGAAAGATAAGAAAAATTGCGGTTCCAAAAATGATTTTGATATGTAGTTGATTTACTTAGGATCTATTTATGAAATGATAAGATATCCTGACTGACTCCTGCAAACACTGGCTGAGGCTTCAGAAATTCTGTTCATTATTTTCGGACTTATTTATGAAAGATATGAACAATTTAGCTGAAGCAGTAGAAATATATATCACATGGTGTTTCATTATGATATGATAACGGGTGGCCATGTGCTGAGAGAATTGATTGAATGAATGTAAATTCCTGACAGTCTGGGGGTCTGGTGTAGAGAGATACTACCCCAGGGACTTCCAGACCTTTCTAATTACCAACAACGGAATATTATTATTTCATTAATTCTTCAGGCTACAGAAATATCAAATTGAAAGATTGTAAAGAGGTTTTCTAAATATTTTAATTGAATGGAAGAGATAACATCAATTTGCACCATTCTAATTTTAGTTAGCTGTCTCTAGATATTGAAATTCTACTAGAACTAAGTGTTTTGTGACGTTTCTATTGCAAGCATCAATTTGCATCATTCCAATTTTCAGTCTTTTGTGGATTTTTTGGAATTCCACCAAACCTAAGCATTTTACATTTAAGCTATCTCAAAAGCTGCTAGTAATATTTAGCTACGTCATAAACCACTCAAGGTGGGAATAGACAGTGGCCGGTGTGGGTTATCAATACAGAAGAAATAGTAGCAGCGAATCGTGTGTTCACTTGTTCTATTTTGTTCTGTATCAATAATTCCACACCGTACACTGCACATCGTCTAATTGCTGCTTGAACCAAACACTGAACTGGACATCGTACCTCGTCTTTTCGCAGCATTACACAGAATTAAATTGATTGATAAGAAACGTGTGGAAGAATTCAAATTACATACAAGTGATTATTCATTCCATTAATAACAAATCTTAATAATATATTTATTCATGATTTGATTTATATTTTTCAGGCTTGACTGAATCAAACATCAAGATGTAATCTGAATAGAACTACTCTATGATTTGTTCCTGGAAATTCTGTCATTCTGTGATTTGTTCCTGGAGATTGCTATTCTCTGTGATTTGTTCCTGGAGATTGCTATTGTCTGTGATTTGGACAGTGACTACTATCTCTAGAAATAGAGATTAATATTTCTGTTAGAGAATTTAACATCCTCTAAAGTGATTTGTTGAAGAACTGTGAAGTTTATTTTTAGAAATTTTTAACTTTTAATAATTTTGGATATCATTTAAAGAAGAGTGAGGTTTTTTTGTGGATGTTGGTGGAAATTCTGATCTGTAATACAGTTTTCAACCAGTTGAGGAATTAATTATTCAAGAAATTTTGAAATAACAGGATAAAGTATACATGGTAAATGTAATAATAGCTATGTGAGGATACGATAATCTCTGACATTGAAGAATCTAATGCCTTGTGGATCACGCCAACCAAAATTGACAATCTTGTGAATTTTTAATCGGACCCTAATGAACCCAAAACATTTAATCCAAGAAATATTTTCTAATTTTTAACTGGTCTTTATTAGAAATTTCAAGATGGATATAAGATAATATTGGAACTATATCAAGAAGTTGAAGAATATAATTTATTGTTTTTAGTTTTTAACGTGTGGAATTTTAAAACAATGTTGAGACGTCCATTATGATTTCATTTATGTCTCGGAAGAAGAAATTTCGATTTCAAATCAACCTGAATGTGGAAGATATATCGTCTGTACCGTTCGTTAGTGGTGTGTTGTTCGCTAAGATACGACTACATGATGGCGGCAATTTCTGTGAATTCGGTAACAGGTAAGACACCTTTTTTTTACTCTTTATTTGTGTTTGGTGTTGGGATGTAAGTCCATTGGTTGATAATCGGAAGCACTGGTTGTAGCTTCAGAACTTTTCTTATATTGAGGAAGATTCAAACCCAAGGACCATAGCAAGCCACAATGTAACTCTGTACCAACTCAGCTATTCCACTGAGTTTGGTTTGATGGTGTTGTCTGAGGCCTGTGCTTTTGAGAGTTGGCCTGGTGTAGGCTTTCACCCTTAAATATATACCCTAGCACCCTACCCTACCCTCATTTTAACCCTTACACCTACCCCTTACCCTTTATTTAAACATTTCAGTCAGATGTTTTATACGCTTAGAGAACCATATCCCTTTAATTGAAATTTAGAAAACCAAGTAGCTTGAAGTCATGTGATTAATATTAAGCTCATTAAATTCTTCAATCACTAATTACCTTCATGTCAAATTTTAACGAACTTGTAGCTAATTACATTAAAACAACGTTTAAATCATGCCAATCAAATTAAATAACCATTTAGATATTTTGTTTCATGTTTTTTCTTTGGGTCAACTGCAAAAAATATAAAAGGAAAACTTATCTAGATTGATATTTTAATCAGATTGATTTTGAGTGATTTTGATATTTCAGTTAAAAAATGGTCATATGAATTTAAGCTTCTTACATGTTTTAATATCTCTTATCTATATAAGATTTTTCACAGACATACTAAATCTAGGATTTCAAATTATAAAAAATTTAAAAACGGCCATAAATCTGATATTTACTGACTTGATAAATTTTATAGCTGAAATAATAGAAATTGTTTTGCTGTTCGTTTTTTTTTTAGCCTTACCTGTAGGTCTACTTGTTCCACAGACTTGACATTTTATGTCTGGCCTTTAACGTGACAATATCATAACCCTATATAGCTAATCAGTAGGGCCAGATTCATCGGCTACAGACTTTTCATTGTCGTTTAGTTTGTTGAATAAGCATCACTTTCACTAATGATAGTAAAAAGACTAGATACAGATATTCTATTAATGACAAACTCTTATTTTGCGTGTTGTTTTGCAGTATGGACTGTCAGGTTTTGGAATAGTTCAGCCCCAGAAATCTAACCCTATTCTTTCTTCAGATGCTTGCATCAGTAAAGAGGAGGGTGTAGGGCCAGAGCTTTGTCAGGCTAGGGTCTTTTTACGTCATTTAGCTTGTTAACAGAACACCACTTCCCTTAATGAAATTACACAAAACTGACAAAAAATATTGTCATTGAGGTCATTAACTTGTCAATGTTTATACAATGTGTCATTAAGTTGGAAGTAATTAACTAAGATTTTTAATTGATATAGAATTATTAATAATTAATGATTAGAAATGTCAGAGCAATTAGTAAATTAGTTTGATTGTAGTTTTTTCTCACATACCGCATGGTGCAGTAGCCCTAGGTAAACTTGAACATGTTAATTTCTTTTATTATAAAAATACTAAAAAATCAATATTAGCAATGTGGACTCTCTGAATGGGATGTAGAGTTAACAAACTTGAACACCAAATAAATGATATTATCTATGTGGACTCTCTGAAAGATACCAAATAAACATCATTAGCTATGTGAACTCTCTGAAAGCCATGTAGACCTAACAAACATAGATACCAGATAAACTTTATTAGCTATGTGGACTCTCTGAAAGATACCAAATAAACATCATTAGCTATGTGGACTCTCTGAAAGCTATATAGACCTAACAAACATAGAAGCCAGATAAACTTTATTAGCTATGTGGACTCTCTGAAAGGGATAGCCAGACTATAGTTTCTATTGACTTGCTTGAATTTAGGTTTTAACCAGGATGTGCACAGCCTGTTTTACTAAACTATAATGATAAAGTGAATTATAAAACATAGATAAGTTTGTTTTGATGGTTTATCAAATAATGATAAGATTATAAACAATGACTCAATAAGATATTACAAGGTATGATCTAGAGGTACAATATTTACTATCATTACCACTGGTACAAGTAGCTCTATCAGTCTAGATAAGTTTAGGAGAGAAGGTAGTACCTGTCTGGCTCCAAGTACACAAAAATAAAATATAATCCATGATAAATGGAGCTTTTCTGTGCCCCTAAAACTCTAAGGAATAATCTTCTTAAATACCTCATGTATATAACAAGACAATAATTATGGGATTAAACACACTTCTTTAATACATGGGTACATAACATTTCAACACAAGTTACACTTGTGGTCATCAGATGAAAATTATCTGATCTGCAAGCATATATTTCATCAAGGGTTAATAATTCTGGATTATTTAGGTCATGGTCCAAGGATACTACCGTACCAAAGTTTGATAAGAATTATGAAATCTTTTATCATGATAATGTCTGTTTTTGTTTGTAGTACAGATTTAGAACAGTCTGTACCAGTAGTTGTTGATTTTGTGTTAATTTATAAAAAAGATAACTAGGTCAATAAGTACTTGATGATAGCTATCTATTCTGATAAAACCTATAACATCTACCTTCTGTTTTATCTTTATTAAGAAGCTGTTTTACTACTTATGATTTTGAGATTGTATGGTGCTGGATATTGACAGAGTTTTTGAGTATTTTTATCTTTATTATTGTGATTTATACTTCATGATAGGGGGATGTCATGTCATTGATCTGTAGGTTGTAGAAAGTGACATGGACAACTAATGTAGTTAGACAATAAACTGACGCCCCAGTGTCCAATATGCTATAATCAAAAATAATAAAATTGAAAAAGAGGAGGCTGTTATTGTAGTTGTCTTGTCAAAATTTCTCTCATTGCACACTGCATGGTGTTACTTTTCTTCAGTAGCTAAGTGAATTATTGAATTTTTTCATCTGCGTTATTTTATGACTAAATTGATTATGAGATTTTTTCATGAATAAAAAAGAGTAAGTTGGTTAAACTGTTTCTAAGAAAGTTGAAATGTGGGAACTAGTAACTGAATATAAGAAGTTGATCTATTTTACATGCTTCAGTAAACTGGCCCCTAACTTAGTTATTAAATATACTGATCTAACTTCTAGTTTCTTTCGACTTATTTCAATAATAAGGCTTTTAGACTAGTGTAGTTTGCCTCTTGCCCTTCTTTGATTTGAAATGGCTAATTTGAATCAATCTCTTTCTGAGAAAGTAGCAACTATTTTTACTAGGTTAACATCTTAGGTTCTCAAGAATCTTGTCTACCAGTTGATCCCCAGGTTTACAAGGATCCTTTCTACCAGCTGGTCCTTGGTCAAACATCTTGAAAATGATTTTACAAGAATAATAACTTAGGTTCACGAGGATCCTTTCTACCAGCTGGTCCGTGGTCAAAATTCTTGGTAATAATTAAACTAAAGATATGTTCAGGATAAAAAAAAAGTATCAATTGGAAACTATTATTTATGCAGAGCTGAACTGTTTTTTATGATTTCGTTGAAGAGTTTAATATGCAAATTAACAGATAGGTTTGCTGAAGAATTTCTGAGTCACTACGGCATATTAAACTATGTAATATTTAACCTATTTCGATTGAGTATTGAACAATAGATGTACTGTTCAGTTCTATTGAACTAGTAAGTTAGGTACACACCACCCACCAACTTCAAAATACGAACTTCTCTTATACCTTGACTGCAATCAATCTTTTGTATCACCGATTTGATTGAATTGTACGACAGCCAATCAGAGTCCTTCAGAGAAAGACTGTAAACATTATGGCTTATTTTTTACAATTTTTCTGTCAAGGTCTCTGATGTGCTGTATTCGCTGGTGTACAATCCAATCAAATCACTGCATTTTGTTATACAAGAAAGGTGGCTATTGCAGTCAAGATACATTATAGCTTGACATTGTGAATATGACCTACTCAACACCCACTCACCTACTTAACAGAATTTACAATTCACTTTGATTTTCTATATCTCAATAAATATCAAATAATTACACATAATCATCTTTTATGATATCTATTATATATTGTTAACATTATAGTGAGCTAGTTACTTTTACAATCTATTTAAAAATGGGTCTTGTGTAATCCCAACTAGTTCTGCTTTGATTTTTAATTTCCACAGTTGCAACATTGTTAGAAGCAAATCAACACCCTAAAAAGAGATGCCAAACGACTGACTTTTTACAATGGAATAACATGTCATAATATTGTACAGTAGCTGTGTTCGTTTTGGCATCAGATGTTGACAAGAAATGGCCCAATCTTTCATTTACTTTCTTTCAAAATTCAATATCTTTATCATCAAAATGTCATTTTAAGTTACATTGTCAAACATTAACTTCCTTTTTGATAAAAACTTCTTCCCCAAATTGCCAGTTTTAGTTTTGAAAAAACAAAATTAAACATTCTGTTAGTTTATATTTAAACAGTGTCGGTCTCAAAAATAGACCAGTTTCCTCAATTTTTATACAAAATCAATTTTGTTTGGTGACAGATTTTTTTGATTTCTTGAAAATAAGCTTGTTATAAAATCATTTATATCTTTCTAAATCTTGATTTATATCTTTCTAAATCTTGATTTATATCTTTCTAAATCTTGATTTATATGGTAATGCAGCTTATCTCATTCATTCATCTAGTCATTCATTCATCTAGTCATTCATTCATTCATTCATTCATTCATTCATTCATTCATTCATTCATTCATTCATTCATTCATTCATTCATTCATGTAAAATGTTATATTTATGATAAAATTGTTGAATATATAAGTATAATCCCTGATTGATAGGTACAGGGCTATAGATAACATTGTTAGAATATATTAGATAGTATTCTACTTTCATTTTATCACCTTAGTTATATAGGAATTTTAATTACAGTCACCCTCCAATCACCTGATTCTAGTCAGAGAAAGGACAGGGTTAATCATCTGTATATTTCTATTTGAATTGAAAGAAATATAGTAAATTAAGAAGAAAAATGGTGCATTATGTGGGGTTTGAGAAAGAGGAGATTGGGGTGGTACTATCAAT